GGCTGCTGGTGATCCTGCGGCCCGGGCCCTACATCTGTGCGGAGTGGGAGATGGTGAGCCCCAGCCTGGCACAGAGGGGTGCTGCCGAGGGAGTGACAGATGGCCCGGGAAGGGCACAGTGGGGTTGGTCCTTCTGCTGGCATGCCAGCTGTACCTACGCTGGTGCCCCACGGGGCACATGTTGCCCCAGTGCCAAGCATCAGCATTTGGTTGTGTGCTGGCCTGGGCTGCTGAGCAGCTGCTCTGTCTCCCTCTCTGCTGTGTGTGTTTCTCTAGGGTGGCCTGCCCGCCTGGCTGCTGTGGAAACCAGACATCGTCCTGCGCTCCTCCGACCCTGGTGAGCCTTGACGTGGAGTTCTGGCCACCGTGTCCTTATGGCCTGGTGTCAGTCTCGACACACCAGTCTCTCTCCATGCAGCAGCCAGCTCTGTGTGCATGGTCTCTCCCATCCTCTTCTCCATCTTTTGGGAGCCCTGTAGTTCACCCTCCACCTCTGCTTTCCTATCGTGCCCAGCCCTGCTCTGTCTCCTCCATCCTCCTCTTGTCAGTGCTGGCTGCGAGCGGGCTGGGGTGGACTCTGCAGTCAGGCTGAGCTGTCCCCTGCCCCTCAGCGTACCTGGCAGCTGTGGACTCCTGGCTCCATGTCCTGCTACCCAAGATCAAGCCACGCCTGTACCAGCATGGGGGAAACATCATCAGTGTGCAGGTAGGGTGCTGTGGGACCTGGCTCCCTGCCCTGCTCCGAGCCGTCTTTGGATGAGCCACCTGTAATCTCTACACCATGACCTCATCTGGCACAATTCTTAGATAAATGCCTCCCAACCTCTGGACTTAGCTTTAAATGCAAGGGCTGGAACTTGGGGATATCTGCCACCACCCCAGTTGTGGTTTGAGGGACACTGGCAGAGCTGGGGGGGTCATACTGGAGCTGGAAGGTAAGTCTTGAGATGCACCTGGGAGCTGTCACAACATCTAGTGATTTCGGGAGGGAAGGGGGGAGACGGGTGCTCATCCCAGTGGGCGGTGGGACCTGGCTGCAGCCCTGCCACGTGCACGCTGGGTGCTGGGTGCTGGGTGCTGGCTCCTGCTCTGCTTGTAGGTGGAGAACGAATACGGGAGCTACT